AACGGGACATAATCCACCAATATTTCGAGTAAGAATAGGTACTTATAAAATTATGTCCCTTTAATCTAATGTGACCGCCTACGAGCCGACGTCGATTTGATGTGTGAACGCCGCTTTGTCGGCTGACTGTCGGACAACGCTATAAAACGGAGTATCGGCAATGGGTCGGCAACCGCTGAGTCGTTATTTGACGTCGGCCCTACGTCAGTTAGACATCGTAATCCGCTTGTCCGCCTTGCCGACTCAATGCCGCACAGTCAGCCGAGGAAGTCATGCTGTCTGGGAAGTAATCCGCAAATAAAAATGTAATAACCTGGCTTGCAATTTCGTAATATGACCATGGATAGTTTGTTTTATTTTCAAAGGCACTCTTAATATTTAAACAACCAAAGTGGCTTCAGTTTTGGGTAGGAATTGAGTTTGAAGTTTGTCCAAATGGCAGCCTAAAGGACATACTCTTTTTTATTTTATAACCATCAAAGAATCTTTAACCTGCTCATATTCCAGGTGGGACCTACAAAATTTTTCATCCCTATCCAAGAAGGCTAGGTGCTCGATCCGACCTACCCAAGGATCAGGGCATGCAGAAAATTAAATTTTTTAAAAACCTGATGCCGATGGGGATCAAATTCCTAACCTTCAGTTTGACAGGTGCATACTATAACTGTTGAGCCACTGAGCCCCTCATCTAGGCAGATGAGCAAGCAAAGACTCACCACAGCTGTGGCTGGGAGAGAAAGCTCCTGGGCAAAGTGACGCTCCTCGTCTGCTCATGGGCTGAAGGTTTGCCGTTGTTATTTCTCCCAAACCCCAGGGAAGGACCCCAGCCTGTCCCCGGGTACCCATGCATTGCAGGATCCATGTGGGATGCTGGACGCACCAGGCTCTTCCCTGGATGGCTCTGAGAGAGTATCAATAAATAATTTAAAGTTATCATAAGTATGTGTGAATCTTTTGAGTGAGAGGGAAGAAATAATTATGAGATCATTGTCAATTTCTGAAGATAAACCAGACCAACGTTTCTATTTTCGTTTAATGCTCTACTAGACATAAACAGTAAATTTCAAAGCCCCCAACCCTGTGGTTTCCCTATAAAAGATCAATATCAAAGAAAGCTTAACAGAAAACACAATAAGTTTGGAGAAAAGACAGTTTCTACTATGCTGGCGAGGTTTCGAATTGAAGAGAGCAGGGAAGTTAAGTTCCCTGTTTGTGGGACAGCATTCTATTAAAATCCCAATGACTGCTGAGGGGTCACAACGGTATACAAAACTCAGTATTGCATTATTGTTTGAAATATGAGACAGGAAAAGTACTCTTGGATCAAAAAGACAACTGTACATCAACACTCTCATTATAATTCATACGTTTGACTTCTTTTTATAAACAAGCACTTTGACGCAAATACTGGCCATTCTATGGAAGTAAAAAAAAACAAGATAGAACAAAAACAGAGTGAAAGGAAAGAGGAAGAATCATCAAATATCTAAAATCCTCATCTCTCCTCCTTTTTTGTGTTTGTTACTATCTTACAACACTTCTTATCTTTGGAACTTTTATGACCTTACTGTGTTACAAGTGCAGTAAACTCTTACTATACTAAAGAAAAAGGAACGGTACAATATCGAAATGGTAACTAGGCTCATACAATTACCAATTATTCCAGTAGACTTTATAGAAAAAGGAGATTATCATAAGTCCATAATGGATTGTTCCCAATTAAATTCTAATTTGGCCCAAGGTCCCATTTACCTCCACTTTTCAATATCTCAAGCACTGAGACCTTGCCCAGAGAATACCTTCGTTCAAAACTCATTATATACTGATGTCTTTAATTTTCGTACATGAACTTTTTCACCTGCTTTTACTTCTCCTGCATGTATTTTTTCTTGGAACACAAAGCAGGAAGAAAACTATAAAAACAGCAATAACTATGAAATGTGCAACTATTTCTGTTGCTAAAAAAGACATAAAATTCACCAGTGTTCCAGGCCCCACAACTGCTGTGTTCATCAAAGCTGGAGATGACCTATAAAGTGGTCGGTCATCACCAACCTGTTGTTCTTGTTCACAAGACCTATGGAAACAGGCATTATTACATTATACCAAAGAAAATGTTTAACCTTCCAAGCGTCGTTAACAAATTGTGGGGTAGCAGCTCAAATACTATAAGTCAGGGTTTGGCAAAAATCACCCTTTGACACATTCATCTAAGGCATGGGAAAGAGAGCAAGCTCTGTTTAAAAACCTCAGGGTCACAAGATTATTTTATGAAAATACTCTTTAATCACAATAGTTGTTGTGCTGCTAACAATAGTAATATCCAATACTACTAAATTCCTCATTTTCACAAAAATTCAAACAGAACCTGCTACTTTACATCACATCTGTGTGTTTTTTAGTTTTAGTAGAGGTTTTTCAGTGCTCGCAACTGCATAAGATCATTTGAGCGCCAAGGGGTGGATGTCAATAGAGAAATCCTTACAGGGAATCAGACTTACTCTGCTCACCTCTCTAGCTTCAACAGCACAAAGTTTGCTTTGACTATCAAGGCACCCCGGAAATAGTGGGTCACAAGAGTGTGACAAACATACAAAAGAAGTAAAGGAAAATGACAATAGTAAGGATTAGGAAAGAAAAAGCAGCAGTTCCCTGTTGTAGATCAGGCACAGTAATGAGCGTGACATTGATTAATCAGCCCATTTACAATTCTACTCTGTGCATAAATGAGAAATGTCCCCCCTGTGGGAATGGCCTAAAGACACTTCAGTCAGTTGCACCGTCCCATATCTGTGTGTGCTGGCAAAATGTACACAGCATGACAAAAGTGTGTTAGACAAACTGGGATTATTTTCTTTGAATTTGTTTTCTACACTACACTGAAGTATGCATCTAGGAATACATCAGAAAACATACAGGACACTGGGTAACTCAAATTGCCAATTCAAAATGTTCAAGAAAAATTAAATGGGCAAAATGCAAGGGGAAAAAAAGGGCCAAAAAAATAAAAACAAAAAGTGCACGATAAATTTTTGACAACCAGACTTGTCATCAGAATTACGGACCTTCTCCCTTCCATTCAATTTGGTTTTAGTTTTAGTAAGGTTCTACAGCGCTCGCAACTGCATAAGGTCATATGGGCGCCAAAGGGTGGATGTCAACAGAGAAGTCCAAACGGGGAATCGGGCCTACTCTGCTCACCTCTCTAGCCTCAATAAGGCACCCCGGAAATAGCAGTTCACAAGAGAATGACAAACATACAAAAGAAGTAGAAGAAAAATGATGATAGTAAGGATGAGGAAAGAAAAAGCAGCAGTTCCCCTTATGTTGTTCCAGAACAGTATGAGCATGACATTAATAAATCATCCATTTACAATTCTACTGTGCATAAGAACATGTTAATATCCGCCCTTTGGGAATGGCGTAAAAACAATAATTTCAGTCAGTAGCACTGCCCTTAGGGGGGTGTCCCAACCATTCATGACTCACTTTGCAACACAATACTTTTCGACTAACATTTTCACAGCTGCCAACTTTTCAAAATAAAAAAAACAAACTCTACCCACGCGGCTGGTCAGATGATATGTACTAACCTGGCAAACTTCCTCTAAACCCTTCACACACACTTTTCTGCAGTCTATAAATTCAAACTATTCAAAGTAGACCTGTGGCAAAAGATCTCTTCAACTGACTTATTGGCTTCGTTCCCATTATTATTCGTAAGTCCCATCTTAAAAGCTCATAATTTTTATTCAGTATCAGCAAGTCCACAAGGAGAACACCTATTTTCCAACTGGAAAATACACTTCCATCAGGGTGTCCAGCAATATTTCTTGAAAAAATTTACTACCTGGAAAAAAATTTGCTACCCAGCAAATCAAGCCCCACACCAGCTCGAAAAAGGGAGTTCATTTGCGCCATCAATAACATATATTATTATATAATATAAGGAGCGAAAACAACAGACAACAAAGTCCAGTCGACAAAATGGAGGATAGACAGACGATTGCAAACTTGCTCGCCGCTAGATTTAGTTTTAGTTTTTGTGAGGTTTTTGCAGCGCTTGCAATTGCATTAGGTCATATATGCTACAAAGGGTGGAGATCAACAGAGAATTCCAAACGGGGAATCAACTTACCCTGCTCACCTCTCTAGCCTCAATAGAAAAAAGTCTGCTTCGACTATCAAGGCACCCCGCAAATAGTAATTCACAAAAGTGACAAACATACAAAAGAAGTAAAGGAAAATGACGATAGTAAAGAAGAGGACAGAAAAAGCAGCAGTTCCCCCTATGTTGTTTCGGCACAGTATGAGTATGACATTGATAAATCAGCCCATATTTACAATTCTACTGTGCATAAGAACATGTTAATATCCTCCCTTTGGGAATGGCCTAAAGACGCTTCAGTCAGTAGCACTGCCCTGGTGGCGGTGGTGGGCGGGGGGCTAGATTTAAACCTAAAGTGTACACACAGGGTGACTGCCAAACCGGCTTCTCAATTTTCCAGGGGGTCATCCATTTTCCAGGGGCATGTTATATAACAACACACACACACAAATAAAATATATCCAGTCAACAACATATCAGTGTCGCACTGGGGTCTTGTTTGACTTAAGCATTTCAGTCTGTTTTCCTCTCATCATTATATATTTAAAAAATGAATACTGCTTTGAGCGTTCGGAGGGGCTTTGAACAAGAATTTCTTCTGTCAAAAACCAGTCTGTGTGTCATAACTCATATTATGAACGTGGAAGATACATTTTTTTTAGCTCAAACTAAAAGTAGAGCAATTGGTTGAATAGCTCAAGTAGACCTATTTAGTGTGAGAGGTGTAAGAACTGTGGGAGGGCAAGAGGTAGAGACACTGAAAATCTGCCAGTCTTGAACAGAAAGCTACAATATTGTTCTAATTTACTATCACCCAACAAATGAAACGCGAACACTTTATTTCAATAAAACGGCTTACAAGGCATGAAGGATCCCAATTCCACACAAGGCCTGCACCAACGCGTTCTTTGCAGAGGATTCTAAATCTAATCAAAATTCTGAAATTCGCTCCCAAGTTTTTGTCCTCTGGTGTTGGTGCTCACCGATGGCGTATCTTGTGGTGCCTCACGCGAAGGTTCATTGACCGGTCACGATGGCGAGCCCGACAATATAAAAATCGGACGACGCTTCTTTCCCCCCCCCCCCACCCCCACACACACAGAAGTGACAGCATAGTGACGAGTCCAAGCAATGAATAAATTTTATTTGCACGGCGACACAGCATTTATACTGTACAACTTGCATGTCACAAATATCAGTCTATCGCCGGCAAATTTCTGGGTAGTAGCGAAAGTAGTCTTGATTTTCCTGATCGAGCCTCGGTGACACATACAATTCCACCTGTCGCCTTTTCGTGTGAAGCGTACTCTCAGACGGGGAAAAGGTGAACGAATATCATAATATACAATCGCGACCGGCAAAAACGGAGTCATGTACTGCGGCTAGGGTTCACTGAAAAGTCTTGTTGGCTCCATCACTCTGTACGCAGGTTAATTTACGACCGTTTACCAAATGTTTACTACCGTCAAGGCAAATTTACGACTTTTTTACGACTTTGCGCCCTTGCTGGATACCCTGTTCCATACTCAAACACTACAACATATTAAATATGTTTTTACGTAATGGCTGGCAGCTATACATCCTATCCAGACTTATGACTTGTGTCCAATTGTTTTTCCTCCCAATAATCCTGCCCTATATCAAGTCAAGCTGGAAACCAAAAACAGGAACATGATCAAGAGGTAGACCAGAAATAAAGCGGCAAGATGACATCAGAGAATGGACAAGTACAACCTAGATATACAGAACAGCAGAAAAAACAGAAAAGAGGTTATTGTTGGAGGGCTACATGCTGCAGTGAATAGAAAATACCTAGCAGAAAGAAAGAAAGAAAGAAAGAAAGAAAGAAAGAAAGAAAGATAGAAAGAAAGAAAGAAAGAAAGAAAAAAAGAAAGAAAGAAAAAGACAAACAGAAAGAAAGACAGACAGAAAGAAAGAAAGAGAGAACAGAAAGAAAGAAAAGAAAAGAACAGAAAGAAAGAAAAGATACTGAGTCAACCAAACCTCAGACGCTGTCTACCAACCCAGCTCTGAGGCAACTAGAACTCACCAGCCATGCATGTACAGAAGATTCCCAGGGTCAGCACAGTATGTACCACAAGTGTTTGTCCTAGACAGCGGAGTAGGCAGATCTTCCTTCGAGAACCCTTGCAGACTAACTTTATCAATGTCTGTATCACTGAGCTTGGCTGGATCACACCTGGGGGGAAAACAAACCAGTCTGAACTGAGAACAGGTACTTTTGGCTATTTTGCTTCAGTTGGTCAGGTAAGGGGCTGGGGGCGTTTTATTTGGGAGGATTTCTTTCTTTTCTGCTAGGATGTATTCTGTTTCATTTGTCTGTTACATATGATCAGGAAATTTACTTTAAAAGAAAAGACCTTCAACTTCAATGGTTCTATATGATCATTTTAGTTCGTCTTTCCAACATACTTTATATCAGTTTTGTTTTTTGGTTTAGTTGTGTGTTTGTGTGTGTGTGTGTGTGTGTTTGTGTGTGCGTGTGAGAGTGAGTGTGTGTGTATGTGTGTGTAAGTATGTGTGAGTGTATGTGTGTGTATGTGTGAGTGTATGTGTGTGTATGTGTGTGTGAGTGTGTGTGTGTGTGTATGTGAGTGTGGGTGAGGGTATGGGTGGGTAGGGCCGATCTTAAAAAGTACATGAATATTGTTAATATCACAGCATCAGTGAAATTTCTGAACAAATCAAAACCTGTTACTAGAGAGAAAGAAAGAAAAAAAAGAGCTTAAAAGGAAACAAACCAACCAGTCTAAAAGTACCTGCTCCATGGGATATCAAGGGAAAAAACAATGACAGGAGGTCTAACCTACCTGTCCATGAACTGCAAATCACTTCTGCCCCATCCCATCTCACGAACAGTATCTCTGATGGCACTTTGGCTAGAAGTTGTGGAGCTAGATTCACTTCCTGTCCTGTTCCCAGAGTGGTTTTGCTTCGATGACTTTAAAGGGCCTTTTTGAAATTGGGGGTCCTGAAGGAATAGGAGTTCGAAACAAGTCTCGGGTCAAACCAGTAATTGAAAAGATGAATCAGTAGCTCTCACATTTCATTTATTCCAGGCTCTTTGAGACGAAGGAAATTTTTAATGTAAATTGAAACAAGGTACATTATTAGAAAGACAGATATTTACCCTCAGGGAAAAAGTGAGTTGCTGGAAAGAAAATAAAGATAGTAGTACAAGAAAGAAATGGGAAGTACTGGCGGCCTCTCTACAAAGTGTCTTCTGCCATCTGACTATTGCTTGTGTGTGATTCTAAGATAACCTGCAGGATGATGCAGATAATTATCTTGAGATATTGCTTAAAAATATATGTTGAATTTTAATTTCTATCCGACACGAGGACTTATTAAAATATATGGAGAGCTAAACAGTCTCCAAATCTTGATCCGATAGAGTTTTGCATAAATATTTTTCACAAAATGTTTTGATGATACATTGCTGACACATTTTGTTAAAATCTGGTATTTTCTTATCCTGTTGAGAGACACCAGTTTTCATGCAAACGCTCTTCTGTAGCATACCGATCAAAAGAGAACCTCACTACCTTTTCAGGAAAACCTAAAGAGGGTGAATATTGTAGCAGCTGCGTATCTTTTGTTTCACTCTTCAAGCAGCCTGGTCCTAGAAAATCCCAAAAATTTGTTTTCTAAAAATGTATCTTTCACACCCACCTGTCTTTTGAAATCCTACAACCAGCCCCCCACCCATTGTGATCCTACGACCAGCAACCCCCCCCCCCCCCCCCGACCCATTGTCATCCTTTAATTGAAAATCTCACTGCTTGACAATTGAAATCTCAATGCTCTGCTACCTTGGATACTCTCTTTTGATACTCTCACTTTAGGGGAAGATAGTGATGACAATAGCAGACATGCAGACTCTGAAACCAATGACTTCTGATACACCTGGTGAGCGCATATACAAAAAAGGATCTTGACCACCAGCTGTTCCGATTTACTAAGGCCAAGTTTTCCCAAATTTCTTTTATTGCAGTATCTTAATCTGTGGCATCAGTTGCACATGTTTGTGAAATATTTTGCCAAAGTTTCAATTCTAAATATTGGAAAAAGCAAGGACTGATATAAAATTCAGTTACAACGTTTTAAAGTATGAAATAATATTTTTCTCTCTTTTGAAAAATTTTCTTTTTCGGCTTAGAACAGTTAAACAGAATGTCAATGATATGGAATCTGTGTCCTTGTTTTAGCTGGGGGGTTTTGAAATGATGTAATTTCCCACATCCTTAACATGCCATGGTACAACAAATTGATTGGAGGACCTGATTGTAATATAGACCAGATTGAATATGGAACCTTTGTTCTTGTTTAAGCTGGGGGGTTTTAAGATAATGTAATTTCCCACATCCTTTACATGCCATAGTACAACAAATTGATTGGAGGACCTTATTGTAACATACACCAGAACATTGCCGATTACAGGATCAACATCGGCATGAAAAACGGTAATGATCATTTATCGTCTTCAGCTTGATGACATCAACTTACTTTTATTGAACACCTCCATCTTTCTGCTGGGACACTGTATCCCTCTCAGCGTGGGTTGGCCTAACAGTAAAGGTCTAAGCTCACCACCGAAACAATCTAAATTGTATCAATGGGGGGGTATGACACTACAAACACAAAAAATGTTTAATACAAGATAGCCGCCTATGCAGCCTGATAGAATGGAAAGAACAGTTGGATCTGAGGTAAAAAAAGGGATGCAGGAATGCATTTCTTGGTGTCTCTGCCGACTCACAGGAGATGCCGATTGTACAAGGGCCACTACAAGAAAGCATGCGATACATGCCACTCCAACCTTGTGCCTGAGAAATGCTTTCAAGAATACCTGTGAACATTGGACTTTTCCTTTTCGTCCATTTTCCAGATTTGAAATCTGATTCACATTCATTTGGTTACATAACATGATTACATTTATTGTTTGGATGGAATCAAGTCCTTAAGATTTCAGTTACTGTAACTTGCCACTGTTGATATTTTTTGTCAGCAAATTGTGTTCACATTTTCACGTACCCTAATTAGGCAAAAAATTTTAATTGGTCTCTAATAATAAAATACAATTTTGAAGGGTTTCATTACAATCAGAGTGAACGTATGTGAAAGTTTGACCAAAATTTAAGACCTCATACATTTGAGGGTTGAAAGAACCTCAACCCAATACAAAATAGAAAAGTGGCTGGTGGATTACCACTAAAAAAAACCAACAGGAACCAGAAACTTCATACCAGAGTTGAGTCAGCTTTCAGCCAATTAGCGATGAAAGAAAATTTATTCAAGCGTAGATCTTCTTTGATTTCCAGTCCATAGCCAAGAATAGCTTTGAGCTTTTCTGGCACTTTAGCGACATTCAGATCTAGGGAAGTTTTTTCCTCAACAACACTATGCAGGATTTCCTCCGCCTCTGCCCCCGACCAGGGCACTTGCTCTGGTGTCAGGAAATGGAAAAAAATCTCAAGTTACAAAAAACACGGTAATGCAGAAATTGGTTTCAGAGTAGTCCAAGTTCATACACTTTTTACTTGAGCTGAACACCAGAGACGAAAAATTTGGCTCTAATATACTTTTTTTGAAGGACAAAACAAAAACTCAGCCCTTACAAACTTATTATAGAGAACAACAGAGACAAAAACTCAGTCCTTGTAGACTTAATCTGAAGAACAAAGATAAAATCATAGGGGAGATTTCCATGACATTTCGATTTCCATCCACATTTCTTTGAGCTTTATCTGGTTATCAGTTCTCACCATAAGCCTCAGAATGAGATCAAAGTCCTGAATCAAACATCCAGCAATACATATACATGGTTTTTAAAAAAAAGCTCGCAAGTTCAGCAAAGCTAAAAAATCTCTCATTGATCTTTAAAGTCATTTTACTGAAACTGAAAATAAAGCACAATACATGATCAATAGAGTATTAACTCATTCGCTACATGCTATTTTGGGCTTGTGGACGAATTTTTGTTCGAAATGAGATGATGACTAGTGCACATTTCACAAGTCTTTGGGGCCACAAATTAATATAAAATATCAAAATATTATGAACCGAAATTTTCAGTATGTTTTGTTGAGTACATCTGTATTGTATATTTGTGTACTTTTCAATTTTGGTTCCCTTAAGAGGTGATTATGCAAAAAAAATTTGCTTGGATGAGGCTGATATTTGAAAATAAAAAACTAATAATCTTTGGGGGAAATCAAACAATTATTTTTGCACCTAGTCAAATGATACATCAAAATCTAGACAGGAGCAACCCAACATTCCAACTTCATACAACACTGCAAAACAAATCATCAAAAGCAACAACAAACAAGATTGGATGAACAGATGGGCCCTGGGAAAGACAGGCAGAGCACTTTTCAAATATATATGACCACAACAAAAAGGAATGGCAATATCAACCGCCTTCAGAGAAAGAAACAGACCACGATCTTCCGCCTACGAACAGAACATATACAGCTCAACTTCCACCTGAACAGAATAAACCCGGAACTTCCCCCAATGTGTCCCTTGTGTGATTATGCATATGAGACTGTGGATCATCACCTGTTCCACTGCACAGCCCTAAATGACATCAGAGCTACCCTTCTCCCTCCGAGACCTAACATTGACAACACACTCTATGGAACTTTACAGCAAACCTGCACTTATCACTACATGGCATTGGACAGAAGGGCGAGAGCCCAGCTGTTGCTGGATCGATAACAACAACAACAACATACATCAAAATAACCATAAATGAATAAAGGAGGAGAATATTGAAAAATTTGCAGTTATTTACATATATCCCACATAATTTATACATTTGGATCGTAACATCAGATATTGAAAAAAATATATTTTTAACAAAATCACAAAAAAAAGGACAAATGTATTCACAAACAGTACAAAATACACCATTTTACATGTGAAATTATTCACAATTGCATAAGGAATAAAAGTACACATGTCTTGAGTGGTATTTTTGGTGTAATTTTACCCCAAAAAATAATGGGAGAAAAAATATTTTGACAATTAAGATCTACATTTAGTCTAGCACTAGCACTGAAAAATATTGATTTCTCAATAACAGAGCAATGGCACTTTGAGTCCATTTGACAATAATATCAATATTCTAAAGAAGAGTCTTACATTTCTTTAGTAAACAAAATAATGATACATTTTGTTTTGTAAAAATACTGAGACTGGTATCTGGGCTATAATTTGGGCATCGCAATAAAACAAAATTGCATGAACTTCGAAATCGTGTTTCAAAACTCAAAACTGAATCAAAACTTAGGATTTTCGGAGGAAACGTTTGACCCAGAAGTCAACATTATATTATGACCTTTATTTTAACATGGATATGTGGATTGGAATAGAATTTAAGCTAGCATTATAGGTCAGTTCTCAAGCCGTCGGAGCGGTTTGCCATAGTAAAGTGACTTTAGGCGCGCCGCTGCCCAAGGCTCGGCGTAGAGAATGAGTTACATAATTCATATATATATCCACCAATATACGAGGTTGACCTGACAGTTGCACTCACATCCACCAGGAGACTTTCTCAACAGTCACACGCTCATCCACCAGAAACTGGCTTGACACAGTCACAACTTCACTCACCGGCAAACATCTCCCACAGCACTGAGCAGAAACTGTATACATCAGAACTGTAGCACGGAGGCCGAGCTTGCATGAGTTCCGGTGACATCCAGTTATACAGGAACCCACGGTGGCTCACCTGAGACACAGCACTCAGCTTGCCCAACTCCGCCTTCAGACTGACAAAACGACAAATGTTTTAAAATTTAAAAGTACACAGAGGCATTGTTAACCAAAATAACTTGACCACTCGAAAATCAAACATGTGTCTTCTGCTTGCCCATTTCACCTGTTGATATGTGTACATTGTTCGTGTTTCGTACCATTTCCGATGAATGTTTTTGTAACCACTGAGCTCAGCACGAAATTAAAGGACTGGTGAGCCAGTGGGCCATTCTCTACTCAGCCGGCAAACGTGCAAGTCGAGTCTGTTCTTCTTTGTGTACGTGTTGAACCAAACGGCATACACGCTTACAAACATGGTGGCAGCGGTGGGATTACAAGAGGAGAAAAAGTCCTTGTACCAAGGTCAATGAGAGAGGAGATAAAGAGAAGACTACATGCAGCTCACCTAGCAACAGAGAGTATGCTGAAGAGGGCAAGGCGGACTGTTTTCTGGCCAGGTATGACTGCTGAAATAAAACAAACGGCTGACAGGTGTGAAGTTTGTCAGCAGAGCAAGCCAAGAAACCAGAGAGAAACACTGGTACAACACAGTATTGGACGAGCACCACGTGAAAAGCTTGGATCGGACATTTTTGAAATAAAAGGTAGACAGTAGACTATTTTTCAAATTTCATTGAGGTCGACTATTTGCCAACATCGACATCTGAAACAGTAATTACCAAAATGAAGTCACAGTTTGCTAGATATGGAGTGCCAAAAATGCTTGTCACTGACTGTGGGTCACGGTATACAGCTTCAACGTTCAAACAGTTCACACAACACTGGGGTATCACTCATGTTCGATCACCTCCAGGCCATCACCAAGCCAATGGAAAAGCTGAATCGGCGGTAAAAATAATAAAAACCATGATGAAACGCTGTGTGCTGGATCACGAAGATCAATACGAAGCACTGTTAGAACTTAGAAACACTCCAAGACAAGATGGGACTGCTCCAACCCAGATGATGTTTCAGAGAGAAATAAGAACGCTCTTACCTCAAATGAAAAAGAAAAATTATGTTCCAGAAAATGACATGAAAAGATTATTAGCTCGCAAGATGAAAGTCAAGAGACAATTTGACAAAAAGACCAGAGATATGAATCCCCTGCAAAAGCGTTAAACTATTTATTACCAAAACCCTGATAAACCCGGTTGGAACGCAGGCAGAATTACAGAAAAGATCAACAAAAGATCTTATAGAATAGAAGGAGAAACTGGCGGCACCTACGTCAGGAATAGGGTGCATTTGAGACCAAAATCAACACCTTTCCACGAAAGGAAGGATGAGCCTGACGACAACGTCATATTGACCCCAGCAGAAAGTCCTGCAGTAAAAGACCACAGTTTGCAAAGACGACACAACACCACCGTTGATCGGCCTAATCAAGAAGTGTCAGCTCCTGACGGGTCGAGCAGATGCAGTCAGACCGTTGATCCCGTCGAATTTACAAGTCAACAACCAATGACTTCACGGCCCACAAGCTTGAAGTCAAACCTGACTCCCTGTCCAAGTCATAACAAAGCACAAAACAAACACTACATAACCAGAAGTGGCCGCATTGTCAAACCCAACCCAAAATACACATGAAGTTGAGATCATCGATTGCACCATTTGAATAGATCTATGGCCTGTTTTTGATTAAAATTGTGATACGGACAATTGTGTTGGTGGGCAACATGCGGTCCACAACAACATCAAAACAAAGCAGTACACATTGTATACACAACTGAACTTTAGTCACATATGCACAGACACTAGTCACCCATCAGAACAGTAGAGTTCTGTTTAGAAATCAGTCTTTAAAATCTTTAAAAGACAATTTTCCATACTCACCACCGCTGAGAACTGATGAGCAGACGACGGACCCGAAGAAGTTATCGAAAAGGATTTTGACAAGACAATTAACAGAAAGTTTTGATTTGTGTTATTAGAATATAAATGTTAATGGACTATCATCTTTTAGTATAAATCGGATACAATGTGGAGAAATCGCTGTTTGATTTAAAAGGTTTAAACTTTATTTTAAATCAGTATTAATTTCTTGGGAATGGGATTCATGAGCTATATGCTTTCTATTTTGTGTCTGTAACGCTCAAATGATATTAGTAGTAGAAATACGTATGCTTTAACTTGCTAATAAAGAATATTTCTATAAAGGGTTTTGAACTAATTGACCAATAAGATGTTGAAATGTTACGTTAAGGAATGCACATAATGCATTCTGCTAAAGAAGGGGGGATGTTGATATGTGTACATTGTTCGTGTTTCGTACCATTTCCGATGAATGTTTTTGTAACCACTGAGCTCAGCACGAGATTAAAGGACTGGTGAGCCAGTGGGCCATTCCCTACTCAGCCGGCAAACGTGCAAGTCGAGTCTGTTCTTCTTTGTGTACATGTTGAACCAAACGGCATACACGCTTACAAACAACACCAAATCAAAAAAGGGAGGACTGAGTCTTTAAAATATTGAGCAAATAAGCTCTTAGATATTGTTAACATTTTGCAACTTTAGACATACAAATTAGTGATTATGAATGAGGATCACAACGCCAAGAGGGCCGAATAGAGAAGGAAGGAGCGAAAAAAGAAGATAGAGACCACATGCCAAAGTACAAACCTCAGATGCAGTGTTGAACAAAGACATCTTTGTGCATTGTTCAACCAAAAGAGAGGAAACATCTCCTGCTGGTTGTTAGAGGGTCCATTACCGTTTCACTAACTGCTGGGGAAATAAATCTGATCTGATCCTGACAGTCAAAGTCTTTTTAAAAAGTCTTAGCAGACTCACCCTTCCACCATGAACTCAAGGTTCCCAATCTTGGCCAGTCCTATGGAGACCAGATAGACAGCCATGGAAGACAGGCCACAGTGGATGAGGTTCTGGCTGTGGATGAACTCCATGGCCCCACACATCTGATGCACCAGGTTCATCTTCTGACTTGTCAACAACTTTCTTTTCTAGGAAAGTCCAACACAAAAGTTCTGTGAATTTCAAACTTTTCGGATATTCTATATAGTACTTCCACTAAAACAAAACCAAGACCGTATTGATCTAAATACCTTATTTCACTGCACAAACTGACTTTAGTTTCCTTTTATCGATAGTACCAGGTGTCTAAAAAAAAGAGGACTCAGGTAAACAGAAATAACTTGTTATCTTTGTACCAATTTTAATAAAATTTCGCAGAAATATCATGGGGACGTTGCATTTGTCAATATGGAAAAAAATCAATTCATATGTTTAAAAAATATTTGTTTTTCACAATTTCAATCAAAACTGACTGAAAAGCAAAACTTTACAACTTCTTTAAAATTGACCATGATGTTGTTCTATTTCCAGTAGTCACTATTTGTGCATTGAAGAACAAAATACAAAAGTGATATTGCAATTAAAATCAAGGAAGGTGATCACTATTTAAATCCCTGGATATAGACCATTTTTTTCCATGCAAGCTCCAATACATCACTGAAAATTTTGAATAACCCTGAGGCATCTTCTGGGCTGATTCTTTTGATGTCCTGTTCAACTTTGAGTTTCAACTGTTCGATTGATTTTGGGTTTCTTCCCTGAATTTTATATGTCAAAAAATATGGTAACCGTTCTTTTGAAAATTTTTGGTTTGTAAGATGTTCGGCAAGCGAGGCAGGGGTAGGCCCAGAACAACATACTTAGGGAACCTAAACAAATGGGTAAAAGGGAAAAATCAGGGAAACGTAGCTTTTCTGAGAGCATCCGAGCAAAGGAATGAATGGAAAATCATGATCGCCGATGTCTGTCGCAGATCTGGCACTGGATGATGATGAAGATGTTCCCCAAACCTTTCTTGCAACCACATCAGGCCAACTCTTGGTGAGTGGATTGTGGCCCAATCCCACTGGAAGCAGGCTTATACAGCACAACATATTCTCCTCCCCAAATTTCTCCAAAACATTCTCAGCACGTTTAGATATCTATCTGACGTGACTGTTGTGGTTTTACTATCTTTGCCCTGAAACCAGAGCGGGCTGATCATGCCCTTGTGACTGAACGCATATAAGAAGTAAAATTTTGCATTTTACCCAATTTTCTTTTGCAATTTTTAAAACTTGATATTTATCAAAAGTACTGATAGATTTTTTTCATATGTACAAAACTGACACCCCTATGGTTGAATTTTATTTGTTTGAATTTTACAACAGGTTAGTGTAAAGATGACAGAGTTATTAAATAATAATAATAAAATAATAAATAGCATTTGTATATCACATATCCCCGCTCAACAGCAGGCTCTATGCGCTTTACACTATATTATTACCCCAGCAGACCATAGAACACTCTGAAACATTCTCAGTTTCCCGGGAAGCATACAGTGCAAGCAGCTGATTAAGTGCTCAAACACTAACAAACTGACAAGACCTTTCGCTGTCTATAGCCGGGTACCCATTCCCACCTGGGTGAAGTGAGGAAAATTTGTGTAAAGTGCCTTTCCCAAAGACGGGATTCGAACCCACGACCTAACGGTTGCAAGTCCGAGAGCCTAACCACTAGGCCACCGACCTTTTAAGTGGATCCTCTTTTTCTTTAGACACCCTGTAATAAACAGAGAGTCAAGATTCCTTTCTCTTTTAGAAAAACATGCAAAATTTGAAATGAAGCAACTATTTTTTTAGGCAGATTCATTTTCATATATATATCCATTTAATTTTCATTGTTATTGGCTTGGTAACACATTCTGATTTTTAAAAGACTCGATTATGAATACCCAACCAGTTAGACACTCAAAGAACACTCAAATTTATTGTTTTTTTCTTTTTAAAAGACGTCAGTGCCTGCAAAATACAACCCACTAGTAATTTCCATAATTTTTATTAAACAAACGGGGTGAAAATGTAGGGACACATGCCAAGTTGCCATGTTTGACATTCAGCGGAGGGAAACTGTTTGGTTTTTTTAACATAATGATATATATTCGTTTTCATCAACATTAATGATGCTCGGTAGTGCTGCATTATTGTTGAAGAAAGTCAGACAAATGCATCCATTCTATCAATACAAAGCAAAAGATAAAATTAATCAATCACAGCAGCATATCATAAAGATAATATGAAAATAAAAAGAGGAAACTGTTTAGATACTGCTTTCAAAGTATGGGTACAGGTTTTAAGAAAATGTAAGAGTTTTCGCTCGCTCCTATTCAAACATCTTCATTTACAGATTCTCCAAAACAGGAAATTGAGGATCCGATCCATCATACCCTCAGACAATTCAGTATTCATCCTGCAACAGTCACAATTCCACCTTTCAGCACAAATGTTTCAATCAAGCCTCAAGTAACAATTTCCACTAAAGTGTGGTAGGATAGGGGTGCAAAAGAAAACAATAGAAAATTGAAGGCTCCCCGCCCCCACTGAATAAGCCTTGAAGTTTGTCAGTCTAGTGCAGGGGTAACCAAACTTTTCAAAGTGGGCTGGATAACTGACAGAGTGTCAAGAATTGGCCAGATTACTATTAAGTTCAATATCATACACCGATGTGTTAACTGAAAAGATTTGACGCACTGAAGCCTAGCAAGTGTGTGACATATTAGCTAGAAATTATGAAGTCTATAAAAGAAAGTTTGATTTGCACTGCAGAGTTCAATGATATGGTTAGATTATTTTGGTGACCAAGTCCTAAGTACACTACAAAAACATCCTCCAAGTTTGTTTCCCCCACGGTGGAATGGCGGTGGGCCAGACAAACTGACCGTGGTGGACCATAGTTTGGTGACCCCTGGTCTCATGCGTGTAGAAACGGCCAAGCCAAATTGAACTACTCACCGTTTCATGCAATAGGTGGTACAGGGTTGCATAATTTATCCGCTCCAGTAGAACCATGATGTTGTCGAGGCAGCTCGGCTGACAGATTCCCATCAGGAGCAAAATATTGGGGTGTCGGAGTTTGCTAGGAACACCAGATCAGATTGATGTATGTATGCGTATGTGTGTGTGTGTGTGTGTGTGTGCAAGGATGTGTGTGTGTGTGAGAGTGTGTGCGCGCATGCGTGCATACGTTTGTGTGTGTGTGCGTGTGTGTGCGTGTGTGTGCGTGTATGAGTGTGTGTGTGTGTATTGTGAAGATAAAAGGTAAAGGGGGCCGTATTGATTATAATCATCAATAAATGCACCCAGAGTATTGAATAAAAAATTTTCAGCAGTATCAACATTATTTACGAACCAGACTAGCCTTTTCATCTTGCTTTTTTTCTGCTTTTTAAGTAATTCATGATTTCATCCAAACAAATTCAGCAGAAGGAAACTAACCACAAATAACGTGCAACATTGTACCAATACATTTTGAAAAGGAAATTGTCAAATTCAAAATAGTGCTTACTGTAGGAATGTTGATCGAGAATGTGACAACTCTGAGAAGTTCACACAATTCCCTTTTCATGAATATCACTCGATCTACATTAGAATCACTGACTGGAATCCATCAGCACATCTCCAGAACACTGTGGAGCGGCATATGAAATATCAAAACTTTTGAAGGAGAAAAAAATAAAGTGTGTATGCATACACAGATAAGTGTGTGCTTGTCTTACCCGAGTTGTTCAGCATCAGAAATGAGTAAATCTATGCCGTCTTCAGTGAGGGCGTCTGGCTTGACTTGTTTCACACTCACCGGAGTGTTCATCCACTCCATCCTGAAAAAGAAAAAAATCCTTTCTATTTCCTGATAATCATCTTTTTAAAAATGTCAATTCTTTCAATTAACACTGAAATACCCTTCTCTTTGTTTCTTTGATTCCATTTTTTTCTTTTTCTTTGTTCAGGTTTTTCTTCGGTTGTTTTTTGTTTTCATTCTTACAAAAAGGTTCGTTAAGATTTTTTAAATTGTGAAAACATTACTTTTTTTAAAGGGTTAACATCTCTCAAGCATGCGCCTAGTCTTAAAAGAGCTTTTTGCATAACACGACCCTTAACTTTTCTTGCAACAACCGCAATTCATAACAACACATCCTGACGGCAACATCCCCATGGGAAAATAAAACTCTGCTTCAGAGTCTTTGATGAGACAAAAGGAGTCTTTGTGCAGGAAAATAGGGGGCAGTAAGTTATTATGTCAGGCTCCAGCACACATTTTTCATTTCATATCTGGAAGTGCAGTCTTCTTATAATTCTGAACAATTACAAGTGACCTTTAACACTTTGCACCCACAGGACACCGATCGGCGACGGTGTGATATAGCGTGTACCGCACATGTATCCTGGTCCATGGGGATAAGTGTTGCGCGCTCTGCACGCTGCGTAGATGGAAAGTGTTAAATCACAATTAAAGGACAGAGATGTTTAAAAAAGGTTGCGTAAGATAAGAGAAGACAAGACAAGGCAAGGCAAGGCAAGGCAAGGCAAGGCAAGGCAAGGCAAGGCAAGGCAAGGCAAGGCAAGACAAGATAAGCCTTTATTGTCCAGATCCTGGCACATTAATTCTGTGTTTAACTCGCACAGACACACACATAAACACACACATACACACACCAGACCTGCCACTCCATGAAATCTAAAAATCAGGATATGCAAAGTAAAAAAATCATGATCTGGTGAAAAAATCGGGATCAAAGGCAAATAAGTCGGAGGGGGGAGGGTGGGGGGGGGGGCGGGCTCCCTTTGTGAGGCAAGCATGCAAGACAAAACTTTTGCAGGAGTAAGTTCATATTTGGGCCAAAGCGCAGGATGCATATAACTCGAATCATCCACGCAATAGGCGCACATTTTTGTACAGTAACATTGACTTCGATGGTTAATACACTCAAGCCCCCCCCCCTCAAAACTGCGCCATCCTATATGGCACAGACCTAGCTCCAATCAAATCTCAAATCTGAAATTTGGTTCCAAGGTTGTTTATTACTTTTTTCTTGTTACTTTATCCTCAACAGGTACATATATGTCACATCAGGCACTTCAAGCCCAAGTGTCTAAAAATACCCCTCCCCCGGTCGTCCCACACTGAAGTCTCGAAAGACACCTCGACCAATGCGACCAGTGTGAATAAAATTTGTTGACCCCTGACAACCAACAGTCCCCGACACACGCGCTACTCACATGAGGTCATTTCACGTGATGCGAACGAGCGCATGATGATGGTCTTGATGATGGGCCTGATTAACAAGGACTCAGATGAAGCTTGCTTTTAAAGCAACAGAAGAACAATGAATAATATTGATTATTTTTAGGCCTGTCATAACTGTTTCAGTTATCCTGCCATCTTTGGAGAATTCTGGGTAACAAAAGCTAAAGTAGAATTTGAGAGTATCCAAGTCAGAATTTTAGTGCGTGAGTCAACTACTAGATCCAGCTTTGATGTTATAGAAAATAGCATTCTAAGTTCCTTCTCATAAAAAGTCCAATCAGTGCTTCAAAGCAAAAGATAATTTTTTTCTAAGAATTGGCCAAAACAGACACAACAACAAAAAATCAAGAAACACGTGATTGAAATCTGGAAAATCGGGATGCTTGAGATTTTGGGAAAAAAATCGGGATATCTCAATTAAATTGGGATGAGTGTCAGGTCTGCGCACACAAGGGCGCACACACACACATACACACACACATACACACACACACCAGACACACACACCACACACACACAAACACACTCACACACACACACACACACACATACGTGTGCGCACACCTGTACACACTCTCTCCCACATCCTCTCCACACACAAATGCACACATAAACATAATAATGTAATAATAATATGCTTGCACTCACAAACTGGCTAACAGTCAAAAGCAAAATATAAATAAAAAATAATACAGTAGTCTCCGCCTAAGATCCCGGTGCTCGGGAGCAAGGAAATGCGGGATCTTAGGCGAACCGGGATCTTAACCGACGAACCCAGGGAAGAACCTATGGTGACCCATGTTAAGGCTCACATTAGGTAAAATGGTCTCCCTTCACTCTAAAATGAACTGACGTGACCGCTTGGTGGGTTTATGACATATGGCGAGCAAAGAGTGGTTGACCTTGATAACCTATCACAGTGCATAGTGGCATGGGGCGTGCGATTTTCACTTATTATCCTATCATGAGTCTCAATATCTACGCTTATCCAGTTGTCCCTCCCCTTTACCTGTCGAAAATTTATGGCTTTTCATCTCTGACTGAGTCCCCCCCCCCCTCCCCGTCGTAGTCGTTACACACCTTTACGCTGTGAACACATCAATTAAAATTCGGTCTGTCTCGCAAATTCGGGAGTAGAGACAACTGCTGCATTGGTCAGGGAAGAGTTCACGGTTCGATGTGATCCCGCCTGGAGCAAATGTGTAGGCCCTACCCATCCAGCGAGTGATGTAAGTTTAGGGGGAGAGCTCATGTGTGAGTGCGATGTGTGGGGAAAACAAACCTGTCGGTCAGTTCACACCTCAGTGTGATCCCGTCTGGGGCAAACGTTGTATCGCTTCCTCGAGTTTTACAACGTGTATGTGATCACATTCACGATAGTGGCTGATCTTTGAAGCCACGGACAGTTTATTGAGCTAAACTTTTCACTCTTGGTTGATTGACTGTGCCCGCCCGGGTTTTTGTTCCGCAAATTATGATCTGAAATGCGGGATCTTAGCCGAATGTAGACCTTCAGAGTTAAATACAGCGGTATCTTAGGGGTGACTTTTGTATAGTAAAAATTCTGTTTTCTTGAAACAGCGGGATCTTAACCGAATCGGGATCGTAAGCGGTGGGATCTTAGGCAGAGACTACTGTAGTAAACAACCAATAGTGTTAGGCTAGATACATAATCAGTATTCTAATTGTAACCCACTGATATTCATAAAGTGGGCATGAAAAATAGAGTAGTAAGGATCAAAGAGACAAAAAAAATGGTAGATACACACTTGAAAGTGAAGCATGCCCCTAATCGACGACCATCTATTGTACAGCTAAACATTTTTCAAGAGCACGGAATATATGAAAAATATGTAAATGAAAAATCTGTCAGTTTGATGTTTATTGTGAAAAGCAATAAACCGAGGAAACAAAAATATAGTGTACAAAATGTAAAAAGGCCCTTCTCACTCTTCGATGAATGTATTATAGCCACAGTCAAAGCAGTTACTGTTCGTGACAAAGAGTAGAGCCTCGCTGACAAGCGGTATGATGGACATGAGACCTCCGTCGTGGTCACTGCCCAGGTACACCTGGAAGAAAATATCACAAACAGAAGGTACAAGTGCTGCCACGATGGCTTTTAGACAGGTGGTCATTGGGACGTGACCCACAGCATTTACCCAAGTTAGGAAGAACAAGGCAGCACTCTTTGCAATCAGCAACAGCATGTGTCTGAGTGATTTCTTCATTATTCCTTAGGCAATGCAAAGAGCCTATACCACCAATACTAATTCAACTACATTGGCTCCCGGTGAAAGCACGAATTCAGGACAAAAAAATTGTTCTTTGTTTTAAGTGCGTCAACAGCATTGCACCATCATATCTTTGTGACATAGTCATCGAATATATACCATCTCGGCCTTTAAGATCGGCGACGAAAAGACTTTCAAGACCTGTCAAAAGTAAAAGTCAGAGACTCGGAGGGAGAGCTTTTTCACATCACGCCCCCTCCCTGTGAACACTTTACCAGCTCATCTACGGGAGTCTACCATTTTATCAAAATTTAAATCAGCACTTAAAACGCATTTGTTTCAGTCCAGCTTCAATCTGTAATTTCCTACATTCCCAATACAAATATTCATGTTCTCTCAGTATCTATTAAGTTCTCTCAGTATCGTTTATTCTTGCAGTTCTGTTCTGTAAGAATTTATGACTGTGAATTCATCAATGTGTGCGAGGGTGTCTGGGTAAGCTTTGAGGGATTGTATTTACTCACGGGGGGAGGGAGGGAGGGAGAGAGCGAGAGAGAGAGAGAGAGAGAGAGAGAGCGAGAGAGCGAGAGAGAGAGAGAGAGAGAGAGAGAGAGAGAGAGAGAGAGAGAGAGAGAGACAGACAGACAGAAAGAGAGACAGAGAGACAGAGAGAGACAGAAAGAGACAGAGACAGAGAGACAGAGACAGAGACATAGTGAGAGAGAGAGAAAGAGGATTACTATGGGAACTGTGCGCTGCATATGTTCTTTGTATTATTGTATAGTGCACTGAGCACTTCTTTGTGGATATGCGCTATATAAATGCAATTTATTATTATTATTATCTTTACAAACACAGTGGTCCGTGAAGTGCAATTTGAATAAACATAACAGCTTGATACATGATAATTAAGCATGTCCACATACAACAAAAATCTCTATACTAAGACCAATAAAGTAGTCTTTCCTTTTTCTCTAGATAGATTAAGAATAAGATGTTCTGAGACATACTGTGTGGAGCACAAACAGGCAGCTCATACCACATCTAAATGTTTTATTTTTTAGTTTTAGTAGAGGTTTTATGGTGCTCGCAACTGCATAAGGTCATATGAGCGCCAAGGGGTAGATGTCAACAGAGAAGTCCTTACAGGGAATCAGACTTACTCTGCTCACCTCTTTAGCCTCAACAGCACAAAGTCTGCTTCGACTATCAAGGCACCCCGGAAACAGTGGGTCACAAGAGTGTGACAAATATACAAAAGAAGTAGAAGAAAAATGACAAAGTAAAGAATAGGAAAGAAAAAGCAGCAGTTCACTATAGTAGATCAGGTACAGTTATGAGCGTGACATTGATGAATCAGCCCATTTACAATTCTACTGGGCAGGAACGAGAAATTCCCTTTGGGAATGGCCTAAAGACACTACAGTCAGTGCCACCACCCCGAGGGGTACATCTAAATGGCAGGTCACAATCCACCATGTATGAAATAGAAAGCCATTTAGATATACAAAAGCAGCAAAGTTTGTCTGTTTTGTATGTGAAAGTAAGGAACATGGTTTGGTAGTAATTTGAAACAAAGCAGAGACTTCTGAAAAAACCTGGAAGCTCACAATCAAAAGAAAGTTCTTCCCAAACAACTTAAGCATAAAGGAATAAAATACAGTTAATGTATCAAAGGCATTAAAACTTTAAGAGTTACATTGCAATTTCCTTGGGAGCGGAATAAAACATTTAACAGTAAAACCAAACAGCCACACATGTCAGTGAATCAGTCTGCAGGAATACCTTTCCAAATCCCATACTCTTTACTCGCTGAAGACTCTTGACACCTGAGTCATGTGAACTCCTCTGCTTCATCAACTCCAACAAAGAGGTTTTCATATGCTGTCTGGAGGAAAAAGCAACAAAGAAAATGGTTCTAAACATTAGAGCCAACAGTTGCATTTTGATTCACATACATGCAAATCTGCCTAGTCAGGTCAGAACAGTCAATGGCAAAGCCACAATGAGATAAGGTAATCAGTGTATTTTATTAGTTCGTAAGACTTGAATAGAGCACAAGAGAATGGGCATGAGATTGAGAGTGTGCGTGTGTATTTTGAACAGGTGTGTGCATCTGTGCATGTTTTTATACAAATGCATGAATGTGTAGGTATAAGGTCAAAGCAAAGGAGAGACCTCTGACCTTCTTCCAAATCTGATCAACTGATCCCGGCTGGCTGTATCACCGCTGTACGTCATGGCAAACAGGTGAGTCTTGTTAAGAAACTCAAGCATTCTACCACGGCGTTTTGGCTCTGTGTTTCGCAAAGCCCACTCCCTCATTCCTGCACCATCCGTGTCATGTAGACGTAAGTCTCCACCAGCTTCAATTAATTTTCGAAGCAAACAAACATTGCCCATGAAGCATGCTGCATGGGTAGGAGTCATTCCATTCTGACTTTTCCTAATGTAAAAAAGGAAGAATATAACATTGCTATCACATCAAAAACATTGAAAACAATAACTAAATGCACAAGTCTGTAGCAGTAACAACACATCAAACCAAAGTATCGCGAACATGCTTCAGACTTAATCTTAATCCAAACCCAAAAGGTATTGTTTGCATGCCATCCAATTGTAAAACGGTGTAAATGAGCCAATTTGTAAGGAAATATATTATTGTGACCCGAGCCTGGAGAAAAAAAGCAAATAATTAGGACATTCTTTTTTTATTAACTAAAATCTAGGATAATTGACAAAAGCCATAATCATTGCATGAAGATTTTGAATATTTCTCAAACTCAAATATACTGTAGTACAGTGGTTTTCAAAGTGGGCGCCCCAGGGGGGCGGTGGCGAGAGTTTGGGGGGCGCTGTGGCGAAACTGGGCGATTGGGGGGCGCTGGTGGGCGCTAAGGGGGCGGTGTGAAATTTTCATGACATGCAACATAAAACGTGATGAAGAGAAAAAAGCCACATAAAAAACAAAAACAAAAACAAAAATAGATAGCTTAGGCATAGTTTACAATACTACATGTAGGCTACTTATAACTAAAAACTTTCGTTCCCTGCCCGCAAATCCCATATAAAGAAGATTCGTCAAGACAAATCTGACAAAGATCTGGCATACTTCAAAACTCTAAAGATCAATTTTCAGAAATGAAAATCCTTTAAACCGGTGTTTGTAGCCAACGTGGATCAAGCTGATGAAGGCTTACGAGCAACATATAATTTATCTCAGCTAATTACAAAGGCAGCCAAACACCATGCTATTGGTGAGGACCTCATATTACCTGCGACGTGCCCCGGAGCCTGTGTTCAAAGTTCTCCCACTAAGTGACAATACCATTCAAAGACGTATTGATGAGATGTCAGCAAATGTTGAGGAATCACAGTGCAAAATGCTGAAAGGACATGAGCTCAGCCTTTAACTGGATATCAGTTCATAGAGGGTGAGGAAATAATGCAAGAATTGTTATTTGCGAAAATGTTGGAAACAGATACCAAAGGCGAGTCCATTTTCAAAGTGGTCCAAGAATTTTTCGAGGAGAAACAGATCCCTCTGACCAATACAGTTGCCTGTGCAACAGATGGGGCACCGTCGATGGCAGGTCGGAAACTTGGATTTATGAACTTTTTGAAGAAATCAGTCCATGGAGTATTTACTGTTTACTGTGTCATTCACAGACATAATTTGGTGGCAAAAAAAAAACTGAATAAAAGTCTGCATGACACACTGGCCATTGCCATCAAGTGTGTGAACAAGATCAAAGTCCACGCTTTGAACTCGAGACTATTTCAACAGCTGAGCACTGAAAATGACGAGTACTTTCAATGCTTACTTTTGCACACTGAAGTCTGGTGGCTCTCGAAAGGAAACTGTTGAACACGATTATTGTTCTGCCTGTTTGATTCTGTGCTGAAGTTGGTTTTGTTTTTTTCAAGAAACAGACAGTGATCTCTGCAATAAACTGAAAGAACACAAAAACAACATTGCGCTCCTCACAGATCTTTTCACAAAGTTCAGCCAGTTCAACTTTCAGCTGCAGGCGGATGACACCAATCTGATCAAGGCTTTCGTCATTCTTGTCGAAACTGGAAATGATCCGCCGAAACATTGGCAGAAGAAAATTTCTCAGTTTCCTAGCTTGGCGGAGACACTGAAAGAAGGGCGCATTTCTGACGAGGAACTACAAATATATATATAGCAACCACTTCAGAGATTTGCATGCTGATATGAAGACAAGGTTTAGCCTCCTGATATTTTTAAACTGGAAATTCCATACTGGATACTGGACCCATTGAACACTGAAACAGATGATAACTTGCTAGTAGCAATTGAAGAAGAGCTTCTGATGATGAAATGTGACTTTGAAATCAAACCATTGTTCAAAAAGCCGTACCAGTCATTCTGGTTGAAAACTATTGTGCAAGACAAATGCCCCTCAAAGTGGGAAAAGATCAAGTTGTTCATCTCTTTTCCTGCCTCCTATCTAGTAGAAAGGGGATTCAGTGCAGTGACAAGTTTGCTGACGAAGCGTAGCGATTTGCGTCGGCTACTGACCAATCTGAAACCTGATGTTGATAAGTTGGTTCCGTCTTAGCAGGTCCTTCCTTCCCATTAGGGTAGTGTCAATAACTTATTTGCGCAGGCTTACTCCGTAGTTTACCCTTACTTGATATCTCAATGTGTCTTTTCTTTTTTTTTTTTCTTTTCTTTTCTTCTTTTTTTTAAAAAGCAAAACATTTACTTGTTTAACAGAGTTGCCATTGCTGATGAAAATGATGATGATGTTGATGATGATGATGATGATGATGATGATGATAGATGATGATGACGATGATGGGGATAATTACAGACTAAGATCCATGCATACTTTTTCTTTCGTGTGGTTTCTCACATTTGAACAACTTAATAACGTTTTTATTTTCTGCAATGGAGATATTTGATACAAATCTCAGGCCACTTCATTGCAGCACGTTGATGGGAGAAAAGAGATAATGTCAATCTGTTTTCAAAACAATGATCACGGGCGTTTTTATTTGTGTGTTTAGTTTTTGGCGTTTTGCTTCTGTAAATGTGATAATACATGTTTTATTTTTATTGATGTTAATAACACTGGTCGTTCAGTACGATGACAACTATACGCATAAAATGACAGTATTTTGCTCTCAATGTCCTTGCATAAGATTGAAGAAAAATGTGCTTTATTATCTCTCGTCCACGCTTAATTTAAGATTGTAAAGATGGTGATTTGTGACCCAACTAATATTCAGAACTAAATTAGTAGAATTTAGGCACGTTACTTTCTACACTGCTGTTTGAGCTCTCTCTTTATTTGTGATTGTTATATATTATGCATGTCATTATGTCAGATTGATGGTTGGGGTGGAGTAGGGGGCGCTGGGACTCGGCTGGGTGAAAAAGGGGGCGGTGGGCGAAAAAAGTTTGAAAACCACTGCTGTAGTACATTGGGTACAAATCTGGTAGGGGGTGCCCGCATACGCGATCGGGTTGGGTCGGGTCGGGTCGGGCCTAGGCCTTCTCAGTACCAGGCCTAACATCCCGTACGATTGGCCTCAGCATTGGAGGCCGACACGTTCACGCAGGGTCAATGCAAAAAGCGGCGATAGATTAATGCGCTGGTGCGGGTGATGGAGCATTCTCGCACTGTACTCACGACACTGGCCTACATGGAACCTTACTTAAATTCAATGTATTTTTGTTGTTGCTGCTTTGTTGTGAGACTTTATCAGCTCTTATAACAAAGGAAGATCACATCAGTGACTGAGTGTATCAATTCGTCAACATGAAAATGAATTACGTTCGCATTTTACCATGAAATACAGACCGTGGCACACAAGTGGGATAACTTTGGTTGTTCACTTGCAACGGATAGCCTACAAGAGACACCGTTCTCATTCTACATGTTTAAACAAACATGAAAGAAAATTAATTTCACATGCACACACATTATATATATTATATTTATATATATATATCGCTCTTCAGATGGAGTGCATGTAACTGAACCCAATCAGCTGTTGATAAAAAAAGACGTCTCTTACCTCTGAAAAAGTTACTGTTTGCATGATCTGGAAGACAACTTTGCTATTTTTATCTTCGCCTGTCCTTATATTTGCCAACTACATGAGCTTATGATAACAATATCAAGATGGAATGTGGATAGAAAGTCCCACAAAATCGCCACTAATCAATTTCTGCACAGTTTGTTCAGTGGTTTCCAACAAAAAAAACACCCAACCCAACAAGTAGTAGATCTAGAAGTAGTGCAGGCCAATAATGCCTCTCTAGAAGGTTACACACAAAGAGCAAAATTTCCTCTAGGCTAACTGGCTCTAGCATGTGACAACATCTCTAGTGAAGTCTGGATGTCTGATGTGCTTTAGTTTGTGAAGTTTCAACTGAAAACTCTTTCACGTGGTCATGGATGAGGTGAACAACCATAAACTACATGGAAAATGCAAAAACAGGGCCATCTCGAGTTCTGCTGAGCAAGACAACTTATGTATTATAATCTTTACTCTTTGCAACATTTCCAATGGCTGTCAGCTTCATATCCATTGTTTGATAAAACTGAATCGAACTTGAAGGCATCTCTTTCTTTAAATACGTTCATTTCATCAATATCAGCAGCTCTTCGTTCATTTCATCAATATCAGCAGCTCTACGTTCATTTCATCAATATCAGCAGCTCTACGTTCATTTCATCAATATCAGCAGCTCTACGTTCATTTCATCAATATCAGCAGCTCTACGTTCATTTCATCAATATCAGCAGCTCTACGTTCATTTCATCAATATCAGCAGCTCTACGTTCATTTCATCAATATCAGCAGCTCTACGTTCATTTCATCAATATCAGCAGCTCTACGTTCATTTCATCAATATCAGCAGCTCTACGTTCATTTCATCAATATCAGCAGCTCTACGTTCATTTCATCAATATCAGCAGCTCTACGTTCATTTCATCAATATCAGCAGCTCTATGTTCATTTCATCAATATCAGCAGCTCTAGAAAAAGCTGAACTTGTAGTTGCTCTTTCTTTTTTTTTCTTTTTTTTTTTGGAGCTGATGTGTCACAACATGATGGTGGTACTTCTGGAAATATTGATGGAGGCTTCTGAGCACTATAAATCTTCCAGCCCGTGTCAAAGGTACATCAGGTGGGAAGTGCAGAGAGCAAACTCCCATACATTGTAATCTGTGACATCTTCTACCATGATTACATTATTTGGAACGCTTTTGATCCACTGTGCTTTTTTTTCTCAATCTTTTGGAAATCTATATTGTTACTTTGCTATCTCCCTTTTGGCTGGCATAACCACTTCTACAGCCCCATCCCCTTCACTTTCTTCCCATGTTCAAATTTGAAATGTTGCTCACAGGGTTCATTGCGGTGAAACTGAGACGTCAGCTGAAAACTTTTTCACAATAACATTAGTAACAATACCATTCAAGATGAAAGAAAACTAGACTCTGGGCAGTCTGGGCTGAACACAAAAACACACAATATAAGCACAAATTTAATCCTTAGAATTGAGTGTAGTGAAAATACATCCAATCAAATGAAAAAAAAGTGTACATCCCAAGAGCACTGAATGAAACAATGAAGAGGCTAGGAGATTAGATAGACTAGACGGCTACACACTACAGACTACACACATTACTATTACACTATCAGCGTGCAAAAGCGTAATGGAAAAATGTTCCATCACCTGTATACGTATTAGTATTAGAACATCTGCCTATCGCCCCTTTTCGCATTTAATCGCCGCTTTTCGCATTGATCCTCGATAAGATAAGGACCGGTTTCGGGGTGAGCTTATCAAGATAAGGTCGTCCACCCCGGCCCTCAATGCCGGAGCCAATCATCCGGGATATAGGGTCTGAACTGAGAAGGCCTAGGGTTGGGCCTATTGGGTAGTCAGGGTGAGCCAAATTGAGGGCGCAAAGCGGCCATCGTGGCACAAATCGATTGACTCTGTCAGTGACCTACAAAAACAAACGTGTTTGTTTTCAGGCCTGCGAATCGCACGATCGGGTGGTTTGCAGCCAATCACAACAAGGCTGAGTCACGTGTCCATTTTGACCCATGAATACATAAGTAAGCTGGGAATTCACAGTTTCGGTCTCATGCCTTTGACGGTCTTCTCACTTCTCACAGCAGGTTTGGAGCGCTCATAGGCCTAGAGGAAGAAGAAGACGAGTAAGAAGAAGGAGGATTATTACAGAGGAAGGGTGGTGAGAGTGACAGGGAGTGAGAGAGATAAGTTGAGAGATGTATGCAGAGACCTAGTAACATTGCTAGATCTAGGTCTCTGATATATGGGAAGTGAGAAATAAACAAGGAGAGAGACACTAAAGCAAGCAAGCAAACACTCACGCACACACGCCCACACAAACACACAGGCGCACACACACACACACATACACACACAGAGGGAGACAGAGAGAGAGAGAGAGAGTGCGGGAAGTCCAAGAGTAACGTAAGCCTAGATCTACTTATGTATTCATGGGTAAAAAATTCAGCCAATCGTAGCCCAGTTTACGCCCTCTATGTAGTCACATATAGGTTAAAAGTTTCTCTACTTTAACTTCCAGGTCGTCGGGTACAATCTCGGCGGGGCTGTAGTGTGCACTGAAACCACAAGAAAGCGACCCGACCCGATCGGCCCAACCCGACCAGACCGCGTATGTACGAACCCCCTATTAGCGTACAAGAAACCTGAAATGTATATCTGTACATATAAGACTAAATGGAAATAAGCTTTAAATGCCTAGCATGGCTATAATACAGTGGTAATGACCCTATTGTCACCATGTCTTATGTGCAGCTGTTGTTGGCAACTATCAAAGTGAGTGCCTATTGATGCGTTATTACCCTTCAGCAATAAAGACAGGAACAGAATAACCTCCATGTTTTTTAACTCATTCGCTACGTATTATTTTCGGCTTGTGGACGAATTCTTTTCGGGAGGGCGAAATGAGATGATGACTAGTGCGCAGTTCGCAGGTCTTTGGGGCCATACATTCAAATAAATATCAACATATTAAATACCAACATTTTCAGTATGGTTTGTAGAATACACCTGCATTATTTATTTGCGTATTTTTCAACTTTGGTTCCTGTAAGAGGCGATTATGCAACACAATTGTGACTGGATGCGGATAAAATTGGAAAATAAAAAATATATAATCTCAGGTGAAACTAAAAAAACACGTTTGCACCTAGTCAAATGATACATCAAAATAACCATAACTGTATATAGAACAGGAAAATATTGAAAAATGTGCAGTTATTTACATATATTCCATAATATTTGTACATTTGGATCACACCATCCGATATTGAAAAAAAAAAATTTTTTTAATAATTTTGAAAAAAGGATCACAAACAGAAAAAAATATGCGTAACTTATATGGAATTATTCAGAATTGCACTTGGAATAAACCTATACATGTCTTGAGTGGTACGTTTTGATTAATTTCACCCAAAAGTAGTGATTTTGGGGAGAAAAAAATATTTTGACTATTTAGATCTAGGCCTATATCTAGCACTCAAAAATATTGATTTCTCAATTACAGTGCACCGGCAATTTGCGTCCAATAGTATCAATATTATAGAGAAGAGTCCTACACTTCTTTAGTGAGCAAAATAATGATACATTTTGTTGTGTAAAAGTACTAAGACTGGTGTCTGGGCTATAATTTGGGCTTCGCGATAAAACAAAGTCGAATAAACTACGAAATCATGTTTCAAAACTGAATCAAAACTTCCGATTTTCGGTGGAAACGCTTGACCCAGAAGTCAACATTATATTATGACCTTTATTTTAACATGGATAAGTGGATTGGAATAGAAACCAAGCTAAAATTAAACGTCGGTTCTCGAGCCGCCGGGGGCGGCTTAACGTACTGACGGCACTTGAGCCGCGCCGCCCCCCACGGCTCGGCGTAGCGAATGAGTTAATAGATGAAATATTATTATATTAAAAATATATACTAGGTGCAAGGAAACATATCATATGCTAAATTATGCATCATTGGAACATAGTTTAGAAATTCAGGTGAACACAGAAAACAATCATTACAATGCCTTTTCAGCATTTCTTAACATAAGCTTGCAGTATTTCAGAAAACTGGAGTGAGCTCTAGAGAAGAGTTGTTTGAATAAATGAATTTATGTTGCTATTTACCTTCCTTTTCAGACAATCTTATTTCAGTTTTGTTCAATTTGATCAAAAGAAGGACATCAATGCTAAAAGAGTTGTTTAGTGCTATGAAAAAAGCAGGACTGATAAAAATAGCAGAGGAAGAGTAAAGAAATGAGCTCTGTTCATGGTACCCTCTGCATACCTGCCAAGGGATGAAAAATCTCCATAAGTGTGATATCAACAAATGAATTAACTTTTCATGCAATAAAATTCCTCACTCGTTGGGATTGGCTCCATACTCCAGCAGCAGTAAAGCTGTCCCCTCATTGTTCCTGGCACAAGCGCAAAACAGTGGAGTCTGGCCAAGGTTGTTGGGAAAATCTACACATTTGGCTTAAAACACAGAATAAAGAGAATGGTTTGGAAAATGTTCTCATTTGAATTCATATAAAAAGAGAGAAAATTGTTTTGAAGCATTTACATAGCCAGTTTCACACATAAAAGAAATATAATTGTTTGGAAAATCTACACATTCACATTCAAAACACAAGAGAAAGAATTATGTTATCAACACTGACTAAGATGTCTACAGTTGTTTGTAAGTATTTATTAAATTTGTAATTCAGGCCAAGCAGTTTACCTTGGCAAGAACGCATTACTTTAATTTCCACCTGTCAATGTTTTTTAAAATGTGCACAACTTGTATAGTAAACCACTGATGGTTTTTTGTTGTTTTCTTTTACATTAGAAGATAATAGCTAATCAACAGTAAGTTACACTGACATCGGGGATGTGAAAAACTTGACCCAAATTCAAACACATCAACAACCTACTACAACCAGGCATTGAACCAGATATTGAAACAAGAGTCTGGCATCACCATACTGCTAAGCTGAGATCTCGAAACCCCTTATTCAGTGTGTACATTCTCATGGAATGATGGGAGCATACATATCACCTTTCGTCCATATTATTTCAAACAGCATATAATATACGATAATTATGATGAGAATATGAAATAAAATTCTCCCAGATAAAGCCCAAGAACAGTGTGGATTTACTGAAGGCAAAGGAACTGTAAATACCATATATGTCATCAGAACAACAATAGAACATGCCCTGAAAGTTCAGAAAGATCTTCATTTATGCTATATAGATTACACCAAGGCATTCGACAAAGTTGGGCACGACAAGATCGTCGACATGCTTGAAGTCCTCAATATTGATGGGAAGGACTTAAGGATTATCAAGAAAAATGTACTGGGACCAAACCGCTGCAATAAGAATTGAAAACGACATCAGCAAATGCATACAGATTAAAAGAGGAGTCAGACAGGGATGTGTACTATCACCAGACTTGTTCTCCCTGTACAGTGAAAATATCATGTGACACACACGGAAAAAATTCCAGGTATCTCGATACGGGCACATAACGTAAACAATCTAAGATATGCAGACGACACAGTGCTAATAGCAGAAGATGAAGAAGACCTACAGGATCTATTGTCATAGAGCAAGAGAGTGACAACATGGGCCTAAGCCTAAACATCAAGAAAACTGAAACAATGGTGATAAGCAGAAAAACTCCAACCACAACCTGCAATATCAAAATCAATGGTACCACCCTCAAGCAAGTACAACATCTTAAATATTTGGGGACCATTATATCACCAGATGGGAGATTTCACACCGAAATTAAAAGCCGCATTTGCCAAGCAAAAACAACCTTCCACAAAATGAAACAGCTACTTACAAACATCAATCTGTCACTGGAAACAAGAAAAACAGAACTGAAAAGTTACATGGAGCCAATCCTATAATACTGGTGCGAAGCGTGGACAATCAATAGACAGCTGGAAAGAACAATAGAGGCGACAGAGTTGAGGTTCACAAGACGCATGTTGCATATCCCATGGACAGCTAGAAAAACAAATGAAGAAGTTTTGGTTGAAGCAAATTGCAGACAACAGCTTGTGACGAATATACGAAAGCAACAGGCAAATTTCATCAGACACACAATGCGGAAAAAAGCATTGGGGAACATTGTAACAACAGGCAAGTTTGATGGAAAGAGAGGCAGAGGGACACAGAGGGAAAAGATACTGAACAAGTTGACAATATGGCTGGGAACAGCAAGAACAACAGATACCATCACTGCAACACAAGACAGAGTGAAGTGGAGGTCCATGATCGTCCACGCCAGTGGGCAAGGCACCAGATGAAGATGATATAATATACACAAAGACCACCCAAGAGCTCCAATGTAAAGAATGGAAGAAATACAAATAAAAGCTGCAAAGGGTAAATTCCACTGAAAAGTATATTTGCTGAACACTGAAAATATTTTTATCCCAAAGAACATCCAAAGGTTGAGAGATGTCCCAGGAAAGACAAAGAAAATGTTAGATTCAGTTCAGTACTGAACAGCTTTTACCAAGTTATTTGAAACATTGTTAACAAGGTCACAACAGTCAATTGGTTCTTTACGAGACCAAACACATTATTTGACTACAAAATTCCATGATTAAGTAGTGGTAATGAGTAAGAGATCAGTTCAGAACCTGAATGTAAGACTTTCTTCAGTGACCTGCGACTGCCAGTGGTGGCCTCCTTGTGAAGGGATACACCAAGCAGATCATTTCCCTCAACAGAACCAAGCTGAACTTGAGAATACTTCTGAAAATCCAACGCAATACACTTTAATTGAAAACAAAAATAATATTAAATATCAGTAAAAAGACAATGATAAATCATCTCAGCGTGTGGTATTTTGTTTAATTATCTTCATAACTGTTATACACAACAATAAGGGAAAAAAGAGTGTGAATGAGCAGAACTACTTTTTTGTATACAAAACTATCAACACTTCTTTTTTCTTTGTATCATTAAGTTAATCTTAATCTGTTCTATTAGATCTTTAAAAAATAAAAAAAATAAAAGCAATCTTTCTCCACAGAAAAATTTGTAAGATTTTGTAAGAAACAGTTCATATTTTTGTTTTTCATCAAATAACAATGGCAGTAACTTCCTCTGTACGTGATTCAAGTCTCAAAGCATTACATTCCCACCAACATCAGTGGTTTAGCTAACAGGTGCAATTCTCCATCGTTTACAGAAGATGTAAGTTCAGATTTCCATGCATGGGGGAGAATTTTTAGAGACTACCTCAGTCTTTCTGCTAGGGTGTTGTATCTCTTTCAGCCCCAACAGGCAGGCTTGAAGCAGTCTGCCTCCTATGCGATCTAAACAGAGTCAATAGGGAAGTAAAACATTTACAATTTTTTTCACATTCTCAATCCGATTCAGAACTGTTTTACAAGAATCAATTTATATTGTCATTAAAAAATGAAATGATCCAAGATGATACTCAGATACTGTCACCCACTGTAGTAGACAAATTTGTTTTCTATCAAAACAATACAAGAATTAGAATGATCAAAACAAAAAATTTTCAACATCAACAATGGTGGCGAAAAAAATTAAAATTGAGCAAAACTATATCGAAGCGCCTGTTGTCCCCTGCTTATTTCAATAAACACTACGACTGCATAACAGACTCACCATTGTTGATGATGATTGTCCTTTGAAGATGCTCAAGACATGTCCAACAGCTTTTTTCTTTGCTACCAACATCTGCCACCCACGTCACAAGCAATAGCTCCTGATGAGACAATTGAAGATTCTCAGTCTTGACAATAGTCTCCGGAGTGTACCACACCACCATAATTGCAGAAATGAACATAAAAAGGTGATAAATTATGCATCATATTCCAAAGACCAGGAGCAATAATTTTTAGACTTGAGAGTAAAGATTAAAGATATTAAAAGCAGGGCTGATCTGATATATGTATACCAGACAATGGCAATGAAACCTGATAAGACAGAAGGATAGTCTCATCAATCAATGCATGCTATAATGGGAGTGAAAGTTCACATTTACAAAAACTATAGTCTATCCACACACAAAAAAGTCTGATTAAACAGTAACAAAAGGTTTTTGAGGTGGAGTCAACTATAACTGAACTAGCTTCCTGATTTGGGGTTTACTACAACCAAAATCAACTACAGCTACAAGAGTCTTTATGGGATAAAAATCCTGAAGTAATAGAATCTAACTGTCATTATCATATCAGGCGGTTTAGGACAAGTACTCAAACTCCAAAGAAACACAATTCAGCCCTCTCCTTATTCTTTTATGTCAGCACTCTAACGATATTTGATTTCACTGCCCGCTGTTTAGTGATATATCAGAGGTGCATGTTCACGACCATGTCCAGCTGCTCCTCCCTCCTTTCCTCCCTGTTGTAGTCATGCATGACAGTCTGGTGAAAGTGTGATCAACCTGAAAAATCTACTAGAATTTGGACAACTAATAATTCCATATTTTGATTTTTTTTTTTAAAGCAAACCTCTCTACCTTCCCTCTGTAGTCACTTGTGCCTATGAGTCATTACTTCATCTTAGAATAAACAAGGGGAGACAACAGGTAAGAGCTGAATTGTGCCCTTTAAAATCCACCTCTAAGAACCTGCGTTTTTCAGTCCCCTGATGACCAGGCTTGCACTTTTAGACGAAGACTATTGTATTCAAAATAAGTGGAATTGCTTTTGACTACCACACTGTTTGCTTTGACATAGGTAAAATGGGTGGTTGGTGCTTGCTCTGATGTGATTTGCTCTTAAATTCTTTCCAATCAAACATGATCTATCTTCTCTCCTCCTTTTCATTCATTATACTATACTCTCTAGATAGTAACAAGAACAGCTTTAATATTCAGCACTTACCTGTCTGTGTTGCAAGTGTTGTAAAAAAAAAAAAATTAATAAAATAAAACAACACACAAAGGCTGTTTTCAGGCCAAGACAGGGGCATCCATTTATTGGGGGTTATCAGTTTAGAAGATAGTATGGACTATATTTTATACTACAGTGGAATCCTGTTATAACGAGAGGGAGGGGACCGGTGCGAAATGTCCGTTATAGCAGGATTCTCATTACAAGGGATCCAGTAATAAATTCAAGGGAAATAGTAAAGTAGGCCTATCTATGATTTGGCGGTTCTGTTTATTCCTTTTTGTATTTCCCCCGATGATGATTTGTTCAACATGATCTCAAGGTCTTACTTGATCAAAAATCGAATCAGGTTTCTTTCTCTAGCACTAGTAATGTTGACAAATCGGCCTTGGCGATCAGAAAGAAGGGGCTCTGGCTCTAGGCTAACTCGCCCGCAGTGTTGTCCCCCACCCCACCATACCCTGTGGTGCGTTGCGTCTGCTCGCGCACGTCATACATTCACTACATCCATCTATCACAGCATTGTGACCTCTCCATCCTGCACCAGAGAAGTGAGAGGCACAGTATGTCTAGATTTAATCTAGACTGGGCTGGCCTATCACGCGATGCGTTCTGCTTGTGTCTGCGCATGCCACACCCTCCCCATTCATTCGCTCCGGCCTTCATTGTTGGTTCGCGTACGCTCTCCCATTCCTTGTTTCGCTGGATCACCGACAACTTTCTCAACTGGCAAGGTTTTATAA